CAATGTCGCGGACTTGACACTGTACTACAAATAGCTGGAAGCTTTGATGAATGAAGTTGAAGCTGCCCCAACTATAAAAGATTGATGCAGGGGCTAGGAGGGTGAATCGTCCCGACCGGTTTGACAAGCAGCCCTGCTAGTTCAGTAGGGAGGTTGAACCGCCAAACCCTACTTAAAATTTGTAGTTGCCGCCGCCCAAGAGGAGGGGTTTTCCCCTCCTAGTTATCTTATTATAAATACATTGATTTGTTATTTATGGTTCAGTTTTTTCCTTACTTTTGATTTATGCCGTCGACGTTTCTTCCTTGCTAGGGTTGTATCTGAGTGTAGATGTTGCTCTGACTGTATTTTTCTCTGAGGTGGTGACTATCCCATGTAAGCCTTTACTACTTACCCTTTTCTGTTTGCCGCCAACCCCAACTGCACACCCATCCTGCCTGAGATTCTGCCGCCTGCCTATTCTCTTTCTCCAGCTGCTGCTAAACACCCAATCTTTCCTTCCACTAACCTTACCCAAGCCCTACAACCACCGAAAACATTTTCCAACCTCACCGGATATTACCTTCAGCCCCATTCAACACTCCCAACCCCTACGCCTCCTCACAAAAATCCTGTAACACCGCAACACCCCCGCCCCAAATCCCTCTCGCTGCTCTAACTGCAACTTAGCTTGCTCCCTTCCAACCGACCACCACCTCTCCCAGTCCTCTCTCACCACTGTCCACCAATTACTTCGCTTCGGCCTAACCGTAGATTTGCTTTGTGCTGTGTTTCCCTTCCTATTTTGAGACTTGATTGTAGTTCTGATGTCTTGACATATTAAAATTCTATTTTCCTATCGGATTTTGGGTCTCCAGGATCACTCTCTTTAATATCAAAGGCGTGGACACTCATAGAAGCTTGTCAGTGATCAGGCTAGTTTGAGCCTCTGACTTTTATTTTTTTGATAAAATTTCCCTGGTCATTCTCAAGTCTTCTCAACCTTAAATTTTTCCGTTCCTTCTCTTGTATGTGATTGAAGTATTTGGAGGAGATGCTGATAATTAGCAACCTTCCATACATTGGCAGAGTGATTTGAATCTTTTTGACTATTGGCCAGCCTTTCGGGCCTTCCACACACCATTGAATTTTTTCGTCTCCAATATTCACAACACCCTTCTGGACTTGGTGAATCCCACCTTGATTACTTCTATGTTGCCTTCTCCCCTTTCCACCCTTTTTCGCCTGTCAGTCAGGTGAGCACTTAACTCCATTTATTCATAAACTATGTCGATGGCTTAGTAATTGACCACAAGACCTAGCGTGTTAAGAGAGGTTCTTAATTCTATTTCAATGATATCAATATATTAACAAAAACAACAACAACAATAACAACAACAAAACCTTATTCCCACTACGTGGGGTCGACTACATGAATCCTTTTTCTCCATTGCGTCCTATTTAGTGTCTTATTTTCATTTAGTTCTAGTAAATTAAGATCATTTTTTAT